TGTTCTGGCGGCAAAATTGATACCGAGTTTGGAATTGTTACGCCATTAAAAAAAGGTGATGATAGTGAAAATAGCTTAATTGTTGGCCATACGCTGGTCAACCCTCATTCTAAAAATGGTTGTGTTCCAATTCGTTTAATGAATATTAGCAATGAAAATGTAAAAATTGAAGCTAATACTACTCTTGGATATATTGAGAATGCTGAAAAAGTTAGTTTTTGTGAGAAAAATGAGTGTTTTGTTAATGAAAAGTGTGACTCAAAGCTTCCATCTCATTTAAATGAGCTTTATGAAAATTCAGTGAAAAATCTTAATTATGATCAAAGAGTGAAACTTAAGAATCTTTTGATTAAGCATTCAAATGTGTTTGCAAAGTCACCAAATGATTTCGATCGTACATCTGTAATAAAGCACAACATCAATACTGGGGCAGCAAAGCCTATTAAGCAACGCCCTAGGCGCCCACCAAAAGCTTTCACAAATGAAGAAGAGAAAATAATTAAAGATCAGTTAGCGGCCAATGTTATTCAGGAAAGTAATTCTCCTTGGGCGTCTCCATTAGTATATGTCAGGAAACGTGATGGAACAACACGACCTTGTGTGGATTATCGTCAACTTAACAACGTAACAGAAAAAGATCCATACCCCTTACCTAATATTAGTGATTGTTTGGAAAGTTTAGGGGGATCATCATATTTTTCGTGCTTGGATATTTTGTCAGCCTATTATCAGATTGAAGTTGATGAGGCTGATCGACCAAAGACAGCCTTCACTACAAAATTCGGTTTATTTGAATATTTGGTAATGCCGTTCGGATTATGTAATGCACCGTCAACCTTCCAAGGATGTATGGAATTAGTAATGAGAGGTCTTCAGTGGGAAATTTTGCTGATATACCTTGACGATTTGATTATTTTTGGCCGCACATTTGAAGAACATTTAGATAGGCTTGATACAGTTTTAACACGTTTGTGTGAGTATGGAATGAAATTGAAGCCAAGCAAATGTTTTCTGTTAAAAACTGAAGTGTCATTCTTAGGACATGTAGTTTAGTAAGGAGGGAATAAGCCCTCAAAAGTCTAAAGTTAGTTGTATTGCAAATTGGGAAAGGCCGCACGATTTAACAACTCTGCGATCCTTTCTTGGTTTTTGTTCATACTACAGGATATATATTCGTGATTTTTCCACAAGAGCTAGGCCATTAAATAGGTTGTTGGAGGCCGGACAACCATTTGAATGGTCTGATGAATGTCAGAAAAGTTTCGACGATTTACGCAGTGCATTGACTGGTGATGAAGTCATGGCATACCCTCAAGATGATGGATTATTCATACTTGATTGCGATGCGTCGAATTTCGGTATAGGAGGAGTTTTGTCGCAAATGCAGTTTAGTGAAAAACTTGGACAGTGTATCGAGAAGCCAATAGCATATGCGAGCAAAAGCTTGAATAAGGCTCAAAGACGCTATTGTGTAACACGTCGGGAACTGTTGGCAGTTGTTACATTTGTTACTATGTTTAAACAGTATTTGTTAGGACGTTCGTTCTTAGTGAGAAGTGATCATTCTTCATTAAGATGGATTATGTCCTTCAAAGAACCAGAAAATCAGATGGCTAGATGGCTTGAAGTGCTATCACAATATGACTTTAAGCTAGAGCATCGCAAGGGAACTAAGCATGCAAATGCTGACTTTTTGTCGAGGATTCCGTGTGACCCTTGTTCGTGTACTTGTTATAGTGGTCACTCAATTCTAAGTGAGCTTCCGTGTGGCGGTTGTAAAGAATGTGTGAAAAAGCATGAACAGTGGTCGGAACTTGCAGATTTTGATGATGTGGTTCCACTGGTGTCTAAGAAAGTCAAGCGAGTCAGAGGAAAAGGTGTTCCTGCCGACTTAGTTAGGGACTGTTCTGCATCAGTGCTGAATTTTCTGTTTGTTTTTGCGTTGTATCTGGGAGCGTTTCTCAGGCAAATTGAACAGAAATTTCGTGGTTGTGAGAAATTTGTTTCTGTGAGAAGACTTAGGGCACCGAAAGAGAAAAGTGCGCCTAAGTCTGGTGCTGCGGATAACATTGATTTAAGTGATGCCACCAAAGAGAAGGATATGGCACAGACATCACATGCAGGAGGTCTGTACCCAAATGGTGACATTTCTTCTGAAAAAGTGTATAAGTTCTCAAATTGGGTAGGTTCGTATACCACAACTGAACTTATCAAATGATGAGGACATTCCACATCCGACAAAGCGGCAGAAAGTGACTCACACTAAATCATGTAGCGAAATATCAGTTGAAAAACGTTTGGAAAACATTGAAAAGAAAATTGACATATTAACACAAGAAGTAAATAAAACACAATTAATATTACAGGAAGAAATAAACAATAGTGCAGCTTGCATTCAAGACTATCAAAGAACTTTAACTTCGCACATTCAAAAAGAAATTAAACATATTCAAACAGAAAAAAAACAAGCAATGAGTGACTTTCTAAAATGTCTTACTGAACTTAACAAAAGTGTGTTGGAGATTGTGAATTAAATTGAAGAGACAGGGAAAACTGTTATGGGATTTTATCTAATTGAACAGTAGAATACTTATGTTTTATATTTCATAAAAATCCATTATGCTTATTTGTTAATTTGTTTAGTTTTGCTTATGTTAATCTGCATAATATCATATAACACTTAGTAGTTTTTCACATGTATTGTTTAGTAACACTTAGTAGTTTTTCACATGTATTGTTTAGTACCAATATTATTCTTTTATTTTTATTTCAATTTCACTTAACAAGAGTTATCAAGGTTTGCTTCAAATTTAAAAATTTAACATGTGTAAATTAATTGGTTTTGCTTCCGGAGTAAGCAAAGTCCAAAGGTGGGAGAGTGTTATGAAATTTGAAACTAATCTTTTACTAGAAGAGTATTCTTTTAGGATGGTAAATCTGGACAATATTTCTAAGCTGGTTAAAATGTTTATGTTAACTTTTACTCATTTTTGTTGTAAAACAATTGAGTCATTAACAGTCCAGAATATTGGCACAGCTCTGTTATTTTTAGATTATGAGCATACCTCATTCCAAATTTGGAAAGGTCGCGCAGACAAAGGTCGCGCGACACTTAAGGTCGGGCAATAGGAAAGGTCGCGCAGAATCAGCTTTCCCAGGCATGCTAGTTCCAAATATGGAGAGGTCGCGCAATAAGAGGTCGCGCAGACTAAAAGTACAAGGTTTAAGTTATTTTTAGCCCTTCAGCATCTCAATTGTTGTTAACAAAGCATAATTTGGTCATATCAGATTTTATGAATGGGATTCCTTACTCACAGCTTTATCTATGTACAGGTTACTTGGTTCAAATGTTGAGCTGTATGTTGTAAAGCTGGAGAGATTATATTTCTGTTGTTTAATGAATTATCAGTCAGTATTATAAGTTTATAGAAATGTCAATCAGTAGTAAATGTATTGGTCTTATAAGCCATATATAGTACATATATCTTTATTACTGCAAGTATATTTTGCACTATTAAGATGCATTATTGGACAGATAATTATTATCCTATTGAGTGTTCAAACATGTAAAATTATATAACTATTATGTATTTTTGTACTAATGTTTGTATTGTACAACAGTCTGTATACCTGAACCAGTTGCAGGCCATTTTGAACATTGTTAAGGCATTGTCAGCATTTTAAAAGGTCGCGCAACATTCAGGTGGCACAATGAGTTGTGTGCAAAACTGGAGAGGTCGCGCAATAAGAGGTCGCGCAACAGTCTACTTTTGCACACCACCCTAGCTGCGCAAACAGAAGGGTATATAAGCTGGGAACTTTTCTAGCTGGGTTAGTTTTGGGGTTTTTGAGGAGTTTTGGAGTGAGTTGGAGTTGGTTGAGTTGAGTTAGTTAGTAATTGCAGAAATGTATTTGTTGAAGTTGTTAAGGATTTTACTTTGGTTTTGACTGTTGATAGAGAATAAAATGATGCATTATTTTGATTTACTGCAATAAATATAATCCTGCTTTCACTTGGACTTGACTTGTTCATTTTACCAGCATAGAGAAATGGTTTACTTTTAAGCGAAAAAAGTGAATAAACAAAGCTTTTCACAAAAAAGGAAGAGTTTTTGTAACAATATGACAAAATGCATGAGAAATTAAAAAAAAAATATTAAAGAAATCATTGGTAAGCATGCACACCCATATAATGACAAAATATAGTTCTAAATATTAAGATGTTTTATGTTGTAGATGTATCTGATAAAAACCTGAATGGTCCTCTAGTTGGGTCTGTATTTTAAGGTTTACTTTACGATTCCAATGAATGCACACAGTTATTGACCTACTATCCTTGGACTTTTCCACTTATTTTGGATAAAAATTTTGGTTTGGGAATAGTCCTTATCAGTGACCCTCAGAAGAAAGAGTTGTGTACTCTAAGCACCAGGGTGCCGTTTTATCAACAAAAACGGTCGTAACTGCAATCCTACTTATGACTGGCCTGAAGCAGTTGTAGAGTTAGGATGTTTATCTACAATGTCTTAGCTGTGACCATGTTGATGAAACACGCTGTGAGGGTCAGATTGGTCATACTACCAAATCTAAGCTACGACTAGGCGTATGGCCATTGTTAAAACAGCACCCAGAAGTCTAGCTGGCACTGTGTCAGTTATAAAGCACCAGAGGTGTGTGTGAATGTACATAATCATTACCCAATTGATTGTTCAGAAAGTTCTCATTGATTGAATCATTTGGGTAAAATTATAGAAAATACGAGACTCTCACAAAATCATCGACATGTACGCTTTCTTGGTAGGCATGTAGCCACTTTATTTGAAGAAAACTCATCCAGTGTTGAATTTTGATATTCTGGGGAAAAAACTACCTGCAGAGGAACTTTTTATTATTTTTATCTACAGGTACATTTTGACCAAAAATACTGAGAGAATGCTATCTTGTAAAAGCTATCTCATGGACTGATAAATGTTTTACATATTTTCTTTTTTGAATTTTAGGTGGGTGCCGATTGTGTCTGGCATTGTGGGATTGCTCATTATAATCGGAATCTGTACCTGTTGTTGTTGTTGCTGCTGTGGATGTTGCAGGAAGACCCCAGCCCCTGTGGTAATCCATACAGCTGCCCCACCTAGTAAGTATTGTGTAAAGTTTATAAGTTATACATGTATAAGTGTTTTAGTAGAATCTGAAAATGTAGCCAGCTCTGTGTTATGTCCTGGTTTTGTTAAATGTTGAGTTATTATTCAACTCATTCATAGCAAATATATTTTGATGATCATGTGGTCTGTTATTATTTCTGTATATTACAATCTATGTAACCACCACATGAATCATTCTTCTTTAATAAACAGAGCCTGGACCTAATGACATATTCAAATGCAATTAACAAAGCCTAACATTAAACAATTGACAAATATGAAAGTAATATACATGTACTTTATTTACTAATACGTCCGTTCCAATTAAATGGACTAAGCCACTAAGGGGCCATTTCTTTTGTTATTTTCTTTTGTTTAATAGAGGGCCATGGTCTCTTATTCTTTTGTTACAGAATGAAATTTATTGTTCTCTTTAGTTCTGTTTACAGTTACATTGCCCCCTACTTCTCTTAATAGCCCGTAAGGAGAGTCTGTCATTAAGGACCACTTCTTTATGTATACAATCGTCTCATGTTTTTGCATTGTACATCTAACTAGGAATTTAAATAAAGGTCTCCACACAATTTGTTAAATCCATGCTATTTAGCTATGTGTCAATAAAAAAAAAATGTTGTAGATAAAAAGATAACATATTTTACTTACCAACCCGGTACCCAGTTTGGCAAGGGTCATTGCAGGGGGAATTGTCAAAGTTTTAAAGCTGGTCTTTAGGGTTTTAGCTCCATAAGAGGTCACTGTTGTTTTCTTTAATTATGTTACCAGTATTGGTTATACCAGTTAGGAAGTATATTCTCTCAACTTGAAGAAACTTGTTTGACAATCAAGGTCGAATAATCAAGGTCGAATAAATATGTTTTGAAGATACTGAAACAGTGATTTAAAGATTGGACGAAGATGAATATTTCAATACTTTGATAAAAATCTTGTTTTGAAAAACTTCCAAATATGGTTATATAATCATAACTCTTTTGAACATAATTGTTTTTATTGCTACGTGTATTTTGTTTTGTTAACAGAGCGCAAGTAATGTTCTTGAAATTTAATATCATGCGCATTGTGACGGAATGGAATGTCTTTATCATCATACTTTTAAATTGCATATAAGTGAATTGATATTGTAGGTCACTAAGGAGTTTCTTAAATGATAAAACTGTTAAAAGGGTGGCAGTTGTATACATTTGTATTATTTTGTCAATACAAAATACAGTTCAGTCTTTCTAAATTAATCCTTGCACATATGTATAGTGTTCACATTTTAGTTGTAGGGTGTGTTGTGTTGACAGTTAATCAAGGTGACACACCTACATTTAAATTAGAAAAATATGAAATATGGATAGTAATTAAAGCCATTTGTAAATGTATTTATGTCATTGGAGAAAGATGTAGTCACTTAACACAATAATTATGGTAGGGGTGGATAACACGTCTGCATTTCAACGCGGGGAATACTTCGGTCACATCCATTTTTCCTCATATATGACACAAGTATTACAGGAAGTAAATTTCTAGAAACATATCAAGAGATTGTTGACAAAAGCTGCATACTAGCTTTCATCAAAATTAAGCTAAAAAATGGAAAATGTTTTGATTTAGGCTTGACTATTGGAAGAATAGGGATTATATAAGCTATTGCACTCACTGAGTTGTAAATTGAAAATAATTATGGTAAAATTATGTAGACTTATTTTGACTTTCACCTGTTTTCTCACTAGTATATACCCTTTGATTGGCATAATGTCATTTTAATGAATAAATTTGGTAACCCATAGGGCCAGATTAATGAAAGTTGGATTTTTTTTGGCTTATTTTATAGCCGATATTCGGTCATATTCCCAATTGAAAATAGTATATTATTTTTCCAATCCACTGGAAAAAAATTCCCAATTTAAAGTTACAAATAAAAATATTGAATAACAAATTCTAAAATCATTGAAAATAAGGGCTTCTGCTTAAATGTTTCAAAATGTCATCCTAGACAGTGATTCCTTGCATTCAATTAATCATTGTTAAATTTATGTCATGCATTTAACAAAACATGGCTGAAATTCCCAATTCTATGGGTATGGGTCATGTTCCCAAAATCCTGGGAAAAAAACCCTGTGAAACAAAACGAAAAAACTAAAAAAAAACAAAAAAAACAGTGAAACATACCTTTCTCATATTTGCATGACTGAGTTTTATTAGACTGAAATGTCAAATTTATTGCAATAGTCAAGATTGTTCAAACATGTAACTTGTGTAAAAATATTACAACATCCTGTTTGCAATTTATTGGTTGTTTGCTGCCTTTTTATACACCTGAAAAAAAAATTGGCATATTATGTTATGCATCCCGGGTCGTCAGTCCTTCTGTTAGCAGTTTTCTTGTCCAGTCTGTATCTTTGGAACCGTTTGAAGGAAATGGAAACTGTTTGGCAGAAATGTTATCAATGATGAGAGAGGCTTTGATGTTTCTCTGGTTTAAAGGTCACACATTTTGTATCAATTTCAATATTTCATGTTCACTTTGTATCTGAGACTTACTGTGTGAAACTTCAGTGTCCAAAGCTTAGATATTTGGCATGTAACTTTACTTTGTGTACCACAAAATAACTGGTGTTATCGGTTATCATGCCCCATGGGTCAATATTGGCCCTGCCTGGGGATCACTTAGTTAATATAGTTTGTGTAGGAAGACACTTAAAAGTCTTTTTTTGGTGAAACTACAATGCCTAGAACTTCGATATTTGACATGTAGCATTGCCTTGTTGGCCTTTAAAAAACTGGTATTTATCATGCCTCTTGGGTCATTGTTGGCTCACTTAATTCAGATAATAGTCTTGTATATTAAACTACAATGCCAAGAGCTAAGATACTTACCATGAAACATTACTTTGTGAATGTAAACAAAATTGATATAAATCATGCCCCTGGGGTTAAAATTTGCCTGCCCTGGGGAGGAAAACACATTTAAGTCTTATTGTGTGCAACTACATGTACAAAGCCTAGAGCTAAGATATTTGACATTCGCCATCAATTTGTAGATTCCAACAAAAGTTATTAATCATGACTCAGGTTAATATTGATCTTGCCCAGGGATTCCCTTGCATCATGTAGACCAAGGTGTAGGAAAACGCATCTTATTTTTTGTGGATGAATTACTATGCCTCAATATTTGGCAGAATCATGCACTTAGGGTAAAAAATGCCTCCACCTCGTAGGTCATACAGTATCACATTTTATAATTAAGATAAGACATTTTTCAGAAAAGTTTCTTGATTTGGTCTTTACATTGTACCTTGATTGAAAGATAACATGTATTTTTGATTACCCAGATGAATTAACAGTCGGGCATACATTGCCCTGCCTTTGTGGTGCTCTTTTGTTGATATAGACCACAGCATGTGTAGACTAGATATATAAAAAATACTTTTTTCACCTATTAATTTGCAGAATTCTGCAGACTTATTTTCATGCTTCATTGCTATTAGAGAATAAATATAATAAAGTGGACTTGTCTACAGTAGGCATATTTTCCCCAAGTATTTCAAATACTGATAAAAACAATAGAAATTCATCATTTAGATATTTTTGTAAAATATTGCTTTAAAAAAAATAATATTGATGAAACTTTAAGTGATTTAGTATTATCATTTAAATTTAGTATATGACAATTGATGAATAATAATATTTTGTTTTAGAACATTTTGTTAACTGCTCATATAAATATAATAGGGCCATCCTTAAAAAATGTTTGTTTGCAGTAACGCGACCGACTCACAAAATTTGCCCCTACTCAAATTTTTTTTCATGGTCTGGATAAAAAAAATTTTTTTTTTTAATCAGAAAATTATGCCTTGTGCTTTGTTTTCGTTCTTTTAAAGCTTAATAGAAGAAATAAAATGTAGTTCTTATTAAATTAGAATTCAGTTATCAATTTATTAATTGTTACCAGATTATCAAAGCATATATTGTCCAGCCTTTTTTTGAAATTCCATATTTATTTGGGAGTACAGTTCAATATAAAAAAAAAAAAATCGACCTACCTACCCAACTTGAAAATTGTGGGTCGGGTTACTGCAAACAAACATTTTTTTAAGGATGGTCTAGTATGAAGGATATCATGTCAATCTCACACTTGCCAACATTTATTATTAAAATTACAGCAGAATAGATATTGCACATACTTTACTTAGATGTTTTTTTGGTCGGACAAGACATGACTATTAATCGATCTAGTTTCATATAAATGAACAAATGTGGTGAAATTTTATCTTTTGAGAGACATTTTATCTCAAAAAAGGCCCAAACTACAATGTGTGGGGTGATAGTAGCTTTAAGAGACTCTTATAGTTTACATACCATAGTCCATACTGCTGTGTTATTCTTGTTAAAACATGACTGCTTTTTTCCCCGACAAGTTGCATTTAAAATGTTGATTGTTTTTTTTTGTATTTTGGGCATTAAGCCGAGAAATGCATAAACTGTTATTATAAACATTGGTAGTGTGTTAAGAGATTGAAATCTAGAGGTTCTGCAGTAGTGTAATATCTCTATCATTAAGTTTATTAAATAGATGGATTAGAAGTTTTTGATCTGACCGTTCAATGCCAAAATCATAAATTTGAAGTTTTGACAAGTATTTAGATAAAAATGAGTTAAGATATTAACTTAATCATATAATTGATGGTTTATATATTTTCTTGACCTTTGAGTTGTTTTACAAGAGAAATGACAACTTTTGTTAACTCATTGGTTTTCATTGTCTTAAAATTATTATGGGGTATCCAGATTTTGACCTCAACATTATTGTGTTAAAAATGCCTCAAAGTAGCATAATTATGCAGACACAAATTTTTACATATGTAACACTTAATTAGTTTATATAATTATATAAAGCTGGGCAAATCACTATTGCAGTGACTCAAGTTCATCAGATAAAGGGTTCATTTTAGCTTCTGTATTTTAAGGATTACTTTTGGCTTATCACATAGTCTATATTCAATCATTCTCCGATTTGAAAATAGTATGTTATTTTCCCAATCCACAGGAAACAATTTTATTTTCCAATCCACAGGAAAAAATTCCAAATTGAAAGTTACAAATTAAAAATAGTCATGGCATGGCCGAGTGGTTCACGCAGACTAGTAATCTAATGATCGCTAGCCGCATGGGTTCAAACCCCGTCAGGGGCAAGTCATTGTTTACTTGAGCAAGAAACTTGACACTCATTGCTCAATACTGGTTGGTTCCAGAATGGAATTAAAAATGTGTCTATAAGCTTATAGCTTCCAACACAATTGAACTAAAATAAATTCTGTATAAACAAAAAAATATTGAATAGCAATTTCTGAAATTTTTGAAAACATTAGGGCTTCTTCACTGTTACAGTGCTTAAATGTTTAAAGATGCTATCCTATACAGTGATAATAATTCACTGCAAAATTTCAGTCATGAATTTTTTTCACATTTTTTTACAATTTTACATCACTGAATATCCCAATGCCAAGGTTATGGGTGAACAGTTCCAACAATCTTGTGAAAAAATTCTAAATTTATAATTAAGTCCATAATAAACTTAGTAATGGACAATTTGAAATTCAAAGTAGGACACGTACAATATTACCTATGATGTGGGGTAAGTCAAGGGATATCTATGTAGTATTTATTACACATTTATTTCATTGTTACAAGTACTAAAATATGTACTTTATTAAATTTTATGCCGAGGCACTTTGAGTGAGAAATGAAATATTTATATCTTTTATTTCAGGCACCACAGTTGCTATGGCAGCCACAAACCAGTACCATGCCGGATATGATCAATAGATGACCACCAACAACAACATCATATCTAAAAATAGTAACACCAGTAAATGACACAAAAATAATTTTAGAAAAAAGTGTTTTGAAGTAATTATTAATTAATAACTGTTTTTCATCTGAAAGTGAAACTTAACAAGAAAGAGTAAAATATAAATATATCATCAAGATTTTAAGATGGTAAGAAGTAACATGCTTTTCATGGGCAATGGAGGATGCGTACAGTGCCTGAAAATTTAGAAACTAGAACATTGGAATCATTGTACATAGGTTTTATTCTTTGTTTTTCCTCCAGAATTGAAGATCATATATGTAGTTATGTTATATTGTATGTATCATGGATAAAAATATCATCAGAGTCTAAAATAAGTTTTTAGTTTTAGTATTATTATTTGTTTTCCTATCATTTTGTGAATATTTTTGTGGTTCTTTATTTCATGTCTTGTTATAATATATCTTTATGGTCTTATAATTAAGGATTACGGACCCCAATGAAGCATTTAATATCGGTTTTTGTGGGATAGTATCATGATTATCGGAAAGGAGTCTCGCTAACTTTTAGCAGTTTTCGGATACTTATTAATTTTGTAGCATGTATATGTCATGTACCGTAAGAGTGTTTTCCACTATGACGAAATTATTTCACATCAGATTTCAATATGCCACCTTGAATTCATGTTCATTGCGGTCCGCATTCCTTAAATGCACATATTACTCATGCATGCCTTGACATCAATCAAGATTGGCTGTTATATAAGTTTTTAAAGTGGATAATTTCCCAAACAATTGCGGCTGTATCTAATTATTGAAACATCTTTAAAGCTATCTCCTTGCAGATGAGTGATAAAAATATATTTATGCAAGTTTTAGGAAATGATATTTTTTTTTTTTAATATTGAATTATTCACTAATCAACATTGTTGTTGATGTGAAATATGGAGGTGACACATTCAAATACTTCAATTTAGAATGATATTAATGGTAATTTATGTTGGCAGGGCTAACTCAATTTATTTGCCTTGACCGAAGTCACTTCATCTTTATTGTATCTTTACTTTAGACATGATATTAGTGCTTTTGTTTAGCTGACCTTGAAATGCTTAGTTTGTTTAATGTAACTTAAACAAAAAACAACAAGCAGATATTTTCCTCAGTGATGAAGCTATTCTAACACATGGTTGTGAATTGTTATGTTCACATTCTTCAATATTTCTTATCTATCTTCATTGTAAATGTAAAGTTGTTAAAGCTGGCCAGTCATACATTGTCACCTTAGTGCAGTAATGGGTTAACCCCTTATATAATCTAATAGGAGGTAACCCATTACTGCACTAAGGTAACGATTTTAAGTCGTACCTGAATATAATCCATGAAGCTCTAGTAAAAATATTGAATCCATGCGTAGATTCATGCAATTGAGTAATGCAGATGTAACCTTCATTTTCTGTGTGCGGATCATTTTGCTGTAAATATTTTTCTGTAATCTGTTATGTCGATGTTATAATTATGTACTCCATCCATCTTATTATATGCTTTTCATGTATGCAGAACTTATGTTACAGTATACGGATGAGATTAAAATATTAAAAAATGACAGTTTGGGTCTATGGCTAATAATTGAGCTACATGGCTATTGAGAAACATCAAGATTTAAAAAAAAAAATGAAGTCAGTCCTTTGAAAATGATAAACTTGTATTTCTACATATATTATGATGTTTTCGGTCTGTGAATCAATAAGTTGGTAGTGACTAAAGATCACTGAGCAACTTTTTTCTACTTTGCAATTTAAGTTACTAACCTTTCAAAATCTTTACTTTAGTACTTGAGTCTGACTGAATAGCAAATTTGTTTGGTATTTTAATCTTGTCCTTATAGAAGAGAAATAATAGGCCATTGTTGTGATTAAGTGGTTTTACTATTTGTACTTTATGAGTAGAAGTAGGTATATGTATGTGTAATATGAAAACCCCAAAAATCATGAATGGTTTTGTCCAGATTGAAAGATGGACAAGTCTATTTAAGATATTTAGAGTGGTAAGGGTCAAAATAATATATAAATTGTCAGAAAAAAGTAAAGTTGACTTACTAACACTATTACACCTATGTAAATTTTGTGAATGGATTTTTTGTAAAAACTAGACAAGTTATTTAAAGGCTTTACAAGTCTATCTTTATATATAAGTATAAGTCAATCAGTAAAATTCTTTGAAAGTTTTCTAATTGTTTCTTTATTTCACAAAAATTTGAAATTTACTGAAAATTTACAAGAAATATTCAGTTTTAAGTTTGTATCGGTCGAAGAATTCATTAATACCTACTATAAAACAGTTTGTTAAACCATCTTTTGCCTCTCAATGTATTAATTTTTGGAAACTTGAACAAATATAACAGGTAAATTCACACAGTTTTATCCTTGTACACATTTGTGCCCATAATAGGACATGGAGAGACCAGTAAAGTCATTATTCACCATTTAAATATATGAGCCGCGTCACGACAAAACCAACATAATGGGTTTGCGACCAGCATGGATCCAGACCAGCCTGAGCATCCGCGCAGTCTGATCAGGATCCATGCTGTTCGCTTATCAACCCTTTTACAAGTAGAGAAACTGATAGCGAACAGCATGGATCCTGATCAGACTGCGCGGATGCGCAGGCTGGTCTGGATCCATGCTGGTCGCAAACGCACTATGTTGGTTTTGTCATGACGCGGCTCATATGTAAAGTGCGTCGTATTACCTGAACAATGTCTATGTGATATAAACCGCGACAAAAAGAAGTCTATAAATATCACATTTCGTTACCAATTACCAATATAATTTCAAATGCTTTTAAAGGGTCTTAAATTTGTAAATTTTCGGCCATTATAAGTAGAGGAGTTAAGATTTACAGCATTGAAATCTTAACATACTATAAACACAACACTCTTTGTTTGATGGTATGTAAATTTTGTGATAACAGCCCTTTTGTTAAAAACAAGTGTTTATTTGTTGAAAGGTCAACTAGAACATAAATTATTGTCTTTTGTAGCTTTCGTACAATTTCTTTGGTTATTGTTGAATTGCCGTCTATAAAGTTGAATGAAGATTGTTTCTAAGGTGCCTTATGCTTTTTATATCAGTGAAATTAATAAATATTTTTATTGCCTAGAAGTATGTATTAGAAAAGGAAGTGTTTATGCTCATGTGTAAGTGGTTGCGTTAAATGTGCATATGGTAATTAAATGATCAACTGATTATATTTCTGAAGTGTCACTATTTTTATTTCCTTTAATACTTTGGCAAAACTATTTTTATAAGTCTTTTCAGCACAAGATACAAACTATACACGTGTGGGCAGGTCTTAAGATTTTTTCTCTCTTTTTAAGTATATGAAATTTTACTTCAAGAATGAAGAGTGTTTTCCCATTGTAAAGTCAAATGTAAAGATGATAGTTTATTTGATGTAACTAGATACTTTAATATTCAGTTTCAACACAATTTAAATAAATTTTAAGGTACATGCACCTTTTTTTTTGTATTCAATAAGACCAGAGTGGTCTGACCTAGATACTGAAATCTATTGATTATGTATCAATGCTGAAATTTGGGCTTTTTTCAAGGTTAAAGGATATAAATAGAGAAATTGTCGAGAAATTCAACTTTTTTGTATAAATCAGTTTATGTGATTCCCTGAGACAACTGAAGATGATTCTCCGACAGTAACTGTAGTTAGGGTGTCTGTGGGTTTGCCCTAGCTTGCAGCCAAATAAGCACCTTCAGATTCTTTCAAGTAAGAAGCGATGTTGGTTCTTAACTTAGGTGCCTGTTTGTGCCTGAAATAATGCACAGAAGGGCACCTGAGGTATTCCTCCATCAGTAAAGCTGTCCAGTTGCCATGACATGTGTTGGTGCAAAATCCAATTAAAAAACAAACTTGTTCATGTGTAATTATTGGTATATCTTTAAAAAAGTGATTTTTAGGACATATTAAGTTGTCACAGCTGTAATTTACAGAAAAAAATTAATATGATAATTTTTTTTTTCTAAATGTTTTATTTTTGGACTTTTGGTATTGTCCTAGAAGATTAAGATCTATTACTTTGGTATAGAACTGCAAACACAATGCAAAATATTTTTATATGACTATAAGGAAGTATCAAACCAAGCTCTATCTTTATGTATCATAGATCTTTAGTTCTTGTTTTCATTTTGTGTATGCTTACTTACATTACATTAACATGTAGAGCTGTTCTCCTCTTTTTTTTTTAATAAAAAAGTTGTATTTAAATGTTGCTGTTGTTGTACCTAAAAACCTCAACTTTATCCCCATCCTGTAATACCCCAACACTTTGTTAGCTCGACTATTTGATAAGAATAATTAGAGCTATCCTAGTCACCCGAACGTTAGCCTTTGCATTAACACCTTTGTTAAAGTTTTTATAACACCTACAATATTTTCAAAGTCCATTGACGTATGGCTTTGAAACTTTGCACACTCATTCACCATCATGTCCTTAACCTGTAGACTGGAGAAGGTAACTCTATCAAGCATTTTGACAGAATTAAGCTCCTTTTTCGACGTAGAATTTATGTTAAAGTTTGCATACCACGTCAGATATTTTCATATTTCATTGCCATCTTGCTTTGAAACAAGTTGAAATTTTATACACATCTGTGAGAGCATAATAGGACTCTCTACAAGGCCTACAACTGTAACATAGATTTGGAAAAAAAAATGGCCCTTTTGTGAACTTAGAAAATTTTACATGATCAATGCTCTTTCACTATCAAGCACAAGCGTGCTGTCCTACTGTCAGTAGGCTACTGACAGCTCTTGTTCATATTGGCACAAAAAACAAAACCACCAGTGACCAGAAACAAAAATAAATGATGAAATGACAGCTCATCCCCCTCCCCATGACTGACCCCATACTCTCCAGTGAGTGGTGTGCAGAGGTTACAAAATTTACTAGTAAGTTAATCTAGTTCACAGGTTTTATTGTAAATGTAAAATCATACTGTGAAACATTCTAAGTAATTTTTTTTGCCCAAAATATTTGTCAATTGCTTAAATATAAGCAGTTCAAAAGGGGAGAAAATTCTAAAATATAGCTGCCAGTTTTTGATGATCCTTGATCTAAGGTATGTGACATTTGAAATTTAAAGTAAAGAAAGAATGAGTTAATATATTGGATTATATGCAGAGCAGGATAGCCCCTAATACTTGTTGTATGTAGCCAAATTCACAAAAGCTGTCATTAGACAGGGCCTCTGACTGTTCTTGGTGCTTGTTATTAAAAAAAACCCAGAGCCTGGATAATGTTGAATTTTTTAAGTTCAAAAAGAGCCATACTTTGGTCAAAATCCATGTTAAGTTATGGGCCTTATAAGTTATGTCTAACTATGGTCTCCAATAAGTGTATGAAGTATCAAACCATTCCATAAAAAATCCCACCGTCTGTCTGCGTCCCCACTTCATTCATGTCCGGACTGTAACTTTGTCATACATTAAGGGATTTTGAAATAACTTGGCACAAATGTCTACCACAACAAGACGATGTGTTGCGTCCAAAAACCACATCCCTACCTCAAAGGTTAAGGTCACACTAACATTTTGAAATTTCACATTATCGCAATTAGAGTAAATAGGTACACACATTCATGTCCGGATTGTAACTTTGTCATGCATCGAATGATTTTAAAATAACTAAGCGTAAATGTCTACCACATCAAGACGATGTGTCACATCCAAGAATTACGTCCCTACCTCAAAGGTCAAGGTCACACTAACATTTTGAAGTTTCACATTATCACAATTGGAATCAATTGTGTCCAGACTAACTTTGTCAATCATCGAAGGATTTTAGAATAACTTGGCATAAATGTCTACCACATAGAGACAATGTGCCGTGTTCAATAATCCAACCCTACCTGAAAGGTCAAGATCACACTAACATTTTGAAGTTTCACTTAATCATAACAAGAGAGCCAAGATGGCCCTAGATCGCTCACCTGATCCATCAAACTCATCCGAACAATTACCTAGACAAGCATTCTGACCAAGTTTTATGACAGATGAGTCAAAAATGAGACCACTAGAGTATTAACAAGGATTATCCATATTTGAGCAGTGTGACCTAGCTCCCTTAGGAAAAGGAAAGGCATTTAACTTGTAGTTATATTGCAGTTATTTAGCAGTTTTTTCAAATAAATGCCTTTTTTACAATTTTTTGCCCTTCATCTTAATTTGTAGGATTCCATTTAAACAGCAGTTCTTAAAAAACTGGTAAAAACTTGTTGTTAAAAAACTTGTGTCCAGCATTTTTTACCAGTTTTTCAACATTTAAAAATAAATGGTGATGTTAAACAATACTTACATTACCATTTTTTACAAGTTATTTTCTTGAACCATTTTTTTAAGCTAAAAGATTGTGACAGAAGCTGCAGTTTTTACAAGTTTTATTTAAATGCTTTTAGGAAAATATTATTCATGCACACTAATATTCACTTAATACCTTGTAGTGCATCATAGCAATATTGTATGTGTACAACTCACCGGTGTGGGGTGTAAATTTACTTTCAAACCGAGTCATCATGCAGCCGTCCAGAGGCAGCAAAAGAAATCACATGAACAAACCCTGTCGTCTTCTCTTTTTTTTTTTTTAAACTCATGAGCCAGATAGTTTGTCTGTACAATGTGAAGGTTGTAGTTTACAATGCCTGCGACAGAGTTGAAACTCAGACACTAGCTGTTGTATTTTATAAATTATACTGCTTGCGGTAACGTAATTTCAAACCAAAACAAAATTTCTACAGCATTCTTTTCTTCAATTTTCTTTCAAAAGGAAGCTTTGCAAAATACTATACAATAGTATATAACTTTGATTTCAAAATTACTGTTAGCTGTTTTAGTACCGCGAAAATAGGAACTTTCACTGTAAATGAAAGAAAGCATGTTTGACAGACAAGTTAAATGGTATGAAAAGACATTATGAAGTCCTACATATTATTATTATTATTGTAAAACAATTTTTTTTTTTTTTTGTGTCTTGAGAGTGACTCACTCTTTCCAAAAAAACAATAGGGAGTAAAGACACTAGCTCTAAAATTTATCTGTTAATTGCTCTATAGTTAAATCTAGTCAGCATTAGACATCAGCATGTATTAATATAAAATTTCTGATATTTGGAGGATCAGATTGAGAATAGATATCTTATTTATGGCAATTGTTCAAAAATGATTATGTCCCCTCATTTTCTCATTATGTACACTTAAAACGATTCTTTATAGCTGACATATGCATGAATCACTTATGTCCACTTTTAACAGTTCTTGTATATCTTGTTTTTTTTTGTTTTGTTTAAGCTAGACTTTAAAGCCCCATGTATTTTGTTAAGAATTCTGTATCGAAAGGGTTTTACCTCTTGACACCAAATGTCAAAATATTTAGCCTTTGTATATTGTTTTTTACTAATAAACCCCAGTCGTTTCTGTATCGTTAGTACCTTCAGTACTTTGATTATGGAAATTTGATAGTCTGCAATATAACGTAAATGATGTACACTAGACAGCTAGGCCTTTAGAATATTCATATTAGAATATGAAAGATATCACCATCAAAGAAGAAATAAAATAACTTTTTTAAAATCATGCAGAAAGATATACTGGTATTTAAAAAGTCCCAGTATTTCCCAGTTATTATCCTAGAAAATTCCAGAATGTTAAAACCAGTCTTGGCTATTCTAGTAATGCCTAGGAAATACCAGTTACTGAGAACTAGGCATTTCTAATAATTTTTAAACAACTCATCAATTTCAAAGTTATACTAGGAATTGTAATTTATTTTCTGAGATTTCTAAGACTTAAGATTTTGCAAAATTCCTAGCCTTTAGGAATTACTTAGAATTTATCTTGTAGAACAAAATCCTTAACATCTGTGCTAAATTCCTTGAATCTTACATAAATTCCTAAAGACTAGGAATTCTCTTTGTTGAAAGTAAACAAGTAAATAAAGAAGGAAGACAATAAAATTGAAAATAAAAATGTTTTCTTTCTTTTTTTAAATAAAACAACATACTGATCTAGATCTATTTAATAATATTTTTCTAGGATTACTTTTATTATTATTATTTAATTGAAATTTAATAATCAATTGACCTTAATGGTCAACCTGCATTATGACAATTTTATCATTGGCCATTTAATTAATAGATATTAAATAGGAATATATAACCCAAAAAGAAATAACAAATGTTCAGGCACTCCAAGTAAATCAAAGACGTATTATAAACCTTAAGAAAATAATCAATAATTGACATCTGAAGTATGTAATTTTCATCAGTTGTGTAGAGCTATTTTTAGCGCTGTCAAATTGCATCCACTGATGTCATGCTTCAGTGCACAGGCTGTGTGTATAAACCACTTTATGCACGGCTTATACTGCCTGTTGACATTTTTATTGATTGTGATTTGAACATATGTAGATCTAATTAGGGGTGGATTTAAGGT